TGGTCCCTGGAGCTTCCTGGTTTAAGATAACTGACTCTCACTTTCTATATAAGCTAACACCAGCTTACAATAGGTGCTTCATCTTTGTCACTGCTATCTGTGTGTGTGCGTTTTAATCTCCGACGACGATCCTTGGCCTTTTAAGCCTACATACAACATTTTCTTCCTAGACCAATTTGAATATTTTGCCATCACTGTGATTGGGAAAGGCTGAAGTCTGCTTTGAATGTGTTGGCTCAGTAGAGCTTGCAAGAAAAGAATAGAAGCAGTTTGTGCTAGCAGCTGCATCTTGATAGAACTCACTCTGTTTTAAAGGAGAACCTGTGTTTTGTTTGTGCTTGAAATAGCAGTCAACAGAATTCTTCCCTGCACTGACAGATTCAGTTTAATTTCAATCACCTATGCCATTTTTAAACACCAGTTCATAGCAACCGAGAAACTGCAATTAAAGTGAGTATTGTTAAAAAGGAAGACCAATAGATTTCGAAGAAACTTTGGGGAAAGAATCCCCATAAAATTTCCTTATTATCCTCAAATTTTGGTGAGTCTATCCCCAAGGTTTTTTCTTGTTACCTCCATTTAAATAATATGCTTTCAATAGGTTGTTGAATCACTGAACTGAGTTTTGAATATGCTGGATTAGAACAGCTTTCCAGTGCAGAAATAATCCATGTGTTTTATCAGCTTGTAATGGCATGAGTTCATCTGTTCTAAAATAGAACCTTCTGCTTTGTTTGTGCTTGAAGGAACATTCAACAGAACTCCTGCAAGCACCAGCAGATTCAGTATCAGTTGTAAGAGTTTATGCCAGTGTAAACATTAGTTCCTAGGAAGTGGGAAAATGCAATCGAAATGAGTATTGTGAAAAAGGTTGACCAAAGAATTTCAAGAAAACATTGGTAAATGAAACCACATAACAATTTTAGTTTTCCTCAAGCTTTTCTGTGCTTACTCCAAGGTATTTCTTGCAACCAACATTTAAATTATGTGCCTGCAATGTCATGTTGAAGGGCTGAACTGTGTATATGTGTATATGTAACTATGTACATGCTGTCTTAGAAGAGCTTCCAAGTACAGAAGAGAATCTGTGTGTTTTAGCAACCCCTATTTGCATTCATTCACTCTGTTCTAAAGAGAACCCTCTGTTTTGTTTGTGCTTGAAGTAGCATTCAACAGAACTCCACACAGCACAGGCAGTTTCAAGTTTAGTTTCAAGTGTCTGTGCCATTGTAAAACATCAGTTTGAAGACAGTAGGCAAATGCATTGGAATCATTGTGAGATATTTGTATGAAAGAATTTCAATAAACATTACTGAATGCATCCTGTGTACATTCTTCCTTCTTTCCCCCTCAATGTTTGGTGATCCTTCATACAACTTTTTCTTCCTAGGCCAATTTGAATATTTTTGTCATTGCTGTGATTGGGAAAGGCTAAAGTCTGCTTTGAATGTGCTGTCTGAGTAGAGCTTGCAAGAACAGAATGGAAGCAGTTTTTGCTTGCAACTCGAACTTGCTACAATTTACTCTGTTTTTTAAGGGGAATCCTCCGCTTTGTTTATGCTTGAAGTAGCATTCAACAACATTCTTATCTGCATAGGTAGTATCAATTTCAGTTTCGAGCATCTTCCTTCTAAGCAGGAAAATGAAATTAAAGCGATTATTGTGAAAAAGATGAACCAACAAATTTCAACCAAACTTTGGTGGAGGAATCCCCATAGCATTCCCTTCTTCCCTACAAAGTTTAGTGAGCCTAGTCTCAAGGTTTTTCTTGCCACCACCACTTAAAAAATGTGCTTGCAATGTGATGTTGAATGGATAAACCAGGCTTCAAATATGCTGACATAGAAGAATTTCCCAGTGCACAAAATAATATGTATTAACAGCTTGTACTTGCATGAGTTCATCAGTTGTAATGAAGAACCCTGTGCTTTATTTGTGCTTGAAGTAGAATTCAACCAAACTTTTCTCAGAACTAGCAGATTCAGTTTGAGTTTCCAGTGTTTGTGCCATTGTTAAACATCAAACATCGGTTTGTAGGAAGTAGGAAAATCCAATTGAAGTGAGAATTGTGAAAATGGTGAAGCAACAAATTTCAAGGAAACTTTGGTGAATGAATCCACATAACAATTTTTGTTTTTCCTAAAAGTTTGTTGAGCCTACCCCAAAATATTTCTTGCTACTATCATTTAAATGATGTGCCTGCAATGTGATGTTGAAGACTGAACTGTGTTTTGTATGTACTAGCTCATGCTTTGTATATGCTGGCTTAGAAGAGCTTTCAGTGAAGAAAAGAATCTGTTTTAGTAGCTTCTATTTGTATTAATTCACTCTTTGAAAAGGATTACCCTCTGCTTTTTTTGTGTGTGTGTGTGATTGAAGTAGCATTCAACATAATTCTTCCATGCATGGGCAGATTCAGTTTCAGTTACAAGATTCTGTGTCATTGTTAAACATCAGATTTTAGGAAGCAGGAAAATGCAAATGAAGCAAGTATTGTGAAAAAGTTTAAGAGAGAATTTTAAGGAAACTTTGGTGAATGAATCCCCATTACATTTCTTCTTTCCTTCCAGAGTTTGGTAAGCCTAATCCCAAGGTTTTTCTTGATTCCACCATTTAAGTAATGTTCTTGCAATGTGATGTTGAATGGCTGAAGAGAGCTTTGAATATACTGGCTCAGAAGAGCTTCCCAGTGCAGAAGAAATCTGTATATTTTAGCAGCATCTACTTCCATGAATTCAATTTGTTCTAAAGGAGACTCCTCTGCTTTGTTTGTGCTTAAAGTAGCATTCAATAGAATTCTTCCCAGCATGGACAGATTCAGTTAAACTTTCAAGTGTCTGTGCTATTGTTAAACATCAGTTTGAAGGAAGCTGCCAAATGCATTACAAAGAGACATTGTGAGAAAGTTGTAGTAAAGAATTTCAGTGAAACTTTACTGAATGCATCCTGTTTACGTTTTTGCATATTTCCCCTCAATGTTTGGTGATCCTAAATACAACTTTTTCTTTCTAGACCAATTTGAATATTTTGCTATCTCTGTAGTGGTTTTCTGCTTTGAATGTGCTGGCAGAGTAGGGCATGCAAGAACAGAACAGAAGCAGTTTGTGCTAGCAGCTTCAACTTGCTAGAATTCACTCTGTTTTACAGGAGAAACCTATGCTTTGTTTGTGCTTGAAGTAGCATTCAAAATAATTCTTCCCTGCATGGGCAGATTCAGTTTCACTCTGAAGAGACATTATTAAACATCAGTTGGTAGGAAGCAAGAAAATGCAATTGAAGTTAGTATTGTGAAAAAGGTATACCAACAAATTTCAAGGAACCTTGGTTGAATGAATCCCCATATAACATTTCCCGTTTCCCTCCAAGTTTGGTGAGCCTAGTCCAGTTATTTCTT